GCGTTTTGCTTACGAAAGCAGAAACGATTATGTGATTATATTTCATTTAATAATAGAAATTAACTGAAAGTTAAATAAATACATTCAGTATTATTCAAAACATGAAAATTAATTATTTTGCTGTATTGTAAACTTTTGCACAAAATACGTAATTCTAAAGAAAGTGTCAAATCTTTGGCTCGATTCTTTAATAACGGTAATATCAACGAAAGTTTGTCAAGAAACCTTTCCTATGCCTGATATGTGCCCTTTTATAATAATTGCATAAAGTGCGTACTTTGTGCCAGTGACATCACAAAAATGCACATCAAACACACACAAAAATATCACCAGCATCTTGGAGAGTGTGAATACTAGTGGCAGCACTTTTCATACTGTAACAAGATTTAAAATATTCTAGAAGCTTTCCATCCAGTATACAAAAATATCAGCAGTAATGTAGAAAAACTTCAAAAGCATTAGAGTAGGAAACAAAATTGTGGATAACATAATAGCAAGAAATTCTTTTCTGTATGTACTCTTGTATGTTTAACAAAACGTTGCCTTTATCGATCTTCAATGCGGGGTTTTAAGCCAAGCATGAATATGCCTCTTTTCTCTCAGTCTGCTTTTCACTCCTACTATAGTAGTATCTACATCTTTGTGCAACCTAAAAGCTTCATTTGCCTCCGGGTCTTCCGTATGACAAAAATATAAAAGTACTTTTAGGTTACCAGTATAATCCCATTTCCACACACAACAATATGAAATATTTCTGTTTTATTTTCAGTTCTCAAAATGTTAGCCTCCTACTGAGTTTAAAATGCGAGTAAAATAAACAGTCAAACAGAAAAGAAGTCCATCACAAAACACACTGTATAATCTAAATTGCTACGGAATCAGCTGCATTGGTTAAGTACTTTACCATGAAGAATTCAGCCGAAATGCATTGCTTTTCATGAAATGATATTTGATTTTTTTTTTCAGCATATGATTTTATGCACTATTTCTTCTGAACTTTTTATATATTCGACAAAACATTAACTATTTCATATCACAGGTATGCTGGAGAGCAAAACGAAGTGTCTTTTAATGAACGTCAGAAATGCAATTTTCTGTGTCACGTTTGCATTTCTTTCGGTACTAAATTTGTTTCGTTTGCCCTTTTATACTAACTGCAGTCTCTCAGAACGAAGGCAAAGTCGCCTTGTTTTTAAAGATGTTACCTATTAGTAAAGTTTGAAACATTTTAGGCTTTGGGCTTCCATCGATGCTTGAGTTTTAGATTAATTTATAACAATGAAAAACGTACGAGCAGGAGAAATACTATATATGGCGTTTCACGTAGTGAGATCCATACCATTTCAATGTTTATGGCACATGTACAAAAAGAGAAAATTAAAAAAGCACTTTATCAAAAAGAGAAAATTAAAAAACTCAAGCAATATACTATATTTGGTAAGATTAAAAGCAAAAATAACTTTTATGCTTGTCGGATTCTTTGACGCAGAAACCTAAAGAAACATTTTCTTTTGTTATACGTTTTAACGGGAATTTTCACTTAAAACTGTTTGTATGTCTACTTAACTTACAGAGTTTGACTTGTTTTGATAGTACACACTATCATTGAAACTCCAACACACATATAGAGAATTACCGCTTGGTCTGAAGGTAACTACAGAGACTTCAGAAGGTTAAAGTAACCTTTCTTGTTCAATCAGAACTTGAACATAAAAGGCGCGTATCCTGCTAACGTAGCCGCTAACACTTGTGGCAATAAAACTGCAGTAATAGGGAAATTTAAATTAAAATCTAGACTAGTAGTCAAAGACTACGCAATTAAATTTAAGTTGAAGTTGGCTCAAAGCTAATCGCCGTAACAAACTAAATGAAGGCAGCTAATAAAGAACATCCTTATAGAAATGAATATTTATATAGGATTCCAATTCCACACTGTCGTAAGACACAGAGGTGGTGGAATAATGGTTTAGGTTGGGATCCCTGATTGTGGTCACACTTGCCTGCATGTGTTCCATGGAGGAACTTTGACCTGTGTGAGATATCGAGATGAGATCCCTGATCAATATATGTCCTCCCATATATCGGTGCTATTGGTACTGCATTTCTTCTGATGGACGACAATGCGCGACCGCACCAAGGTCTGTTTGCTGAAGAATATCTTAAGTGCCACAACATGGAGCGGACGGAATGGTCAGCTCAATCCCCGGAACTGAATCCGATGGAGCGTTTTTGGGAATAACTTGGGAGGCAGATTGCTGCTTTAAACCTTCCTCCAAGGCCGTTAGGTGAGCTTGAATACCCGTGTCTGCTTACCCGTTACATACCCGTTGCTTCCCATTTTACTGGCTGACAACTTAATTAACAGCATGGAACGTATTGCAGCTAGGAGTGGACATATTCCTTATCAATAGAATACATTTTTGTAATATTACCATCACATTTTCCTCAAAAATCTGTAATGTACAGTTTCTCCAAGACTAGATTTCTCTGCCACTAGTGCAGTGTTTTGCTGTAATTCATGTTTGTGTTGAACTTTAGAAATATTCTAGGTCGCATGCATTAAAGAACTGTTTAGCGAATGTGTTTCCTAAATTTCATGTTTCTATGTTGCTTCATTCTCAGAGTGGACACAAACTGCCTGCTGTTTCCTAAAGTTTGGAGAGCAGTGTACATTCGCAACGCTAAGTTTTACTTCAACTTATTTTATCAGAACTTGCTAGCTTGAGTTTGCTTCTGCGACTTCAACGGCATTTGAAGGATATATCTCCCAATTTTTAGCTAGAAGCTCTGCTATTTGTACCACGAGAGCAGAAGAAATGTCATTGAAGAAATGTCCTGCTCATGGAAGTGCGCATGTCAGCGGCCATATTGGTTGTGGTTGTTGTGTGCTCCGTTAAAAGTGCTAAAATCTTGGTAATTATACCACTTTTGTTTGTGAAAATGTGATTCTTCCATGGATTATTAGTTCCGGTTGCGATATTTGTGGTGTTTCTCTGCGAAAAAGGGAAATCGCCGAGGATAGGAAGACTTTTAAAATTGTTGCTGTCCGCCGCCCTCATTTGCATATCCTGAGTAAGCATTGTCTCTCAAGGTTTTTATATACTGTGCTAATAACTTTTGAGTATAAAATAGGATTTTATATCTGTTGTTTCTCTACCTATTTTTGAAAATTCGTGATTTTGGTACATGTATGAAAAATGTTATATGCATTTGTAATTCTGAGTAAGCGTTAGGCTTAGTGTGGCGGATATATGTTGAAACCAGGAATTTGTTTCACCAACCACTGAAGTCTTTCTGCCCGCCGAGATGGTGAGCCCTTGCCCTTTCTTGGCGCACCAAAATTTAAGTCTTCCTGCCCGTTGGTCAATTTGTTTAATTTCCGTCATAAAATTTTAATTTTTGCTTACAAATTATTTTGGAACTATTTAAAACACAAAGTGAGATGGTTCGTCCAAAAAATACAGAGCCTAAGGGGCAACGCCCCGACAATGAGACGTAGTCGGCCAGTGCTCCAATAATAGATAAGACACAGAAACAGAGCAGTACACGACAGCTAGACGTTGATATAACTTTGGTAGATGCCAGTACAGAGTATCAAGAGGCTTCAGAGTGCTATACTAATCTAATTGGATATTTAAATAGAGACGACATTTCCACAAAAGCAAACAAAAAGATACGAGGTTTCTTTGACCATATGTTAAGAATAGTCTCGAAGGCAGAGTTACAAAATTGCCAATTTGGAAGGACAAATTGAACAAACTAAGAATATAGAGACATGCATCCAAGGAATAGTCGCCACTCAAAAGCTGTCTTTGCAGAAGTTGCAAGATCTCGACGGCCATCCAGAAGTAGTTCTAGATCTAGACGATCACAATCAAGATCACGGCAAGAGACAGAGCATGTATTACTAGTCTATCCTAAGACTGAGGGTAGTACATCCGACGAGGTAAAGGAGAAGCTGGTGAAGTACATAGATCCAGGAAAACTCAAAGTAGGCGTCAAGAATATAAAGAGAGTCAACAAAGGAGGGCTCCTAGTAGAAGTTACGAAAAAGGAAGAACTGGCAATACTTGAAGAGGCCATAAATGAAAATCGGAAGCTGAAGGACGTAGTGGAGACGAAACATCCACAAAAAAGAAACCCCAGAATAATAGTCTACAATGTCAACGAGAACATTAATAAAGACGAGATAGTAAACTTCATTAAAATACAGAACACCGACCTAGCAGAAAGTGAAATAGAGATTCTGTTCGCCATGAAGGCCCGCTTTGGACAGCACTGGGTTCTATCTATAGACCCAGTAGCTTTCAAGATCCTTATGAAAACGAAGAAGTTGAACATACAATGGTCAAGATATAACGTAAGGGAGTTTATAAAGGTTTCGCAATGTGTCAAATGCCTTGGGTATAACCACCCAGCGAAATATTGCAAGGAAGATAAAGTCTGTGCCGGATGCGGCTCCACACACCACGAGAAGACCAATTGTGACCAAAAAACAGTCAGCTGTGTCAACTGCACAAAGGTGAATAAACGATATAATACAGGCCTCGATGCCCAACATGATAGCCGAGATAAGAAATGCCCATGCTACCTAAAAGAGCTCGAAAGATTAAAACAACGAACAAATTATGGATAGTATCCAAATAATCCAGATTAATCTTAAGCACTCCAGGAGTGCAACAGAAAACTTAAAGATAAATTTTGAACAAAACGACAAACTCAAAGTAGCATGTATCCAGGAACCGTACACAGTACAGAACAAACTGTACGGATTCCCCACAAAATATAGGAAGTTCTACTCTCGAACAGACGCAATAACTGCAGTGATTATAGCGGACTCAAATCTCCCAGTTCTGGAACTTTTCAGCTCTCCGGAGATTATAGCGCTTGCAATAGGCAGTGACTCAAGATTTATACTAATCACGGTATACTGTCCTCCATCGCGAGATATTGCACCAATCCTGACAACCCTAGAAAGGTTTATGCAGGACAATAACAACATGACTACAATAATTACCGGAGATTTCAATGCCAAAAGTCCCCTATGGGGCTCACATAATACGGACACACGAGGCCTCAAAGTATGCGAATTCATTGCCAGCACTGGACTATCGATTATCAATGAGATAGGGGATACACCAACCTTAGCAAGAGTAAGTGGCAACAGCTGGATTAACCTCACACTTATCATAAGTAGAGACAGAATCCGGATCGATAATTGGAAGGTAACGGACGAAGCAAACAATAGCGATCATAATAATATCTATTTTGACGTCTCCAGCATTCATTACCCAACATGGAGAAGATCGAAAATCAATGTACGACATACCGACTGGCTAAGTTTCAAAAGGTATATCTCAAAATCTTTAGCAGACCCTAGAAATCTGACAACTATCGAAGAAATCGATAAATATGTAAGAGAAGTTACCACTAGTCTTCACGAGATCTATCAAAGAACAGTTCTCTCACATAACTCGAAACCAAGATCGCGCACCTGTCCATGGTGGACAAAAGATCTCACTATTCTCAGGAAAAAGGTCAGAGCAACAAGGAAAAGATTCCAAAAAACAACTGGAGAGGAAAGGACCCATAACAGGCTGCTTTACCAGAGGGTACGTGCACAGTACCGGCAAAAGATGTATAAAGAAAAGAAAAAAGCATGGGACATGACATGGAACAAAATCACTGTTAGCTCTCCGTTCGGAACATACTTCGATCTAGCTAAAGGGAAGAGCATGGATCCATTACAGATAGGTTCAGTTCAAAAAGAAGATGGCACAATGACGAGCACAATTGAGGATACAATTAGAGAAATCATGAGGTTCCATTTTCCAGAAGACGACCCCAACGAGGACTCTACATACCATGCAGATTCCGATCCCAATCAACCGAGATTCCAAACTCGGAAGACGATCAGCCGTTCACACTCGAAGAAATGCAACGTACGATAAACTCAACACGCCGAGGTAAAGCTCCTGGGCTGGATGGCCTCACGATTGAAACCATTGAAGAGCTTAGGCTCGCGGACGACAAACAAATTCTAGCACTCTTTAACAAGTGCCTTGAATTAGGTTATTTTCCAAAGGAATGGAAAAACGCAGAGCTAGTATTGTTCCAGAAAGAGGGAAAACCAAAGTCCATGCCCAGTTCTTACAGACCTATCTGCTTACTCTCAGCGTGGGGCAAGGTCCTTGACAAGATGCTTACGCAGAGATTAACGTATTACCTGGTCAAAAACAAACTACTAAACCCCGCCCAATTCGGGTTTACTAAAGGGCGGAGCACCACCGACGCCCTCAACCGTGTTCAAGACATCATCTTAAATAACAGACAAAATAACCTCCATACGTGTATAATATCGCTTGACGTAGCTTCCGCATTCAATAAACTATGGTGGCCAGCGCTCAAAACAAAACTAAAAGACCTGCGCGATGTCCAAAGAATCTTTACCAACTGATCGCAAGCTACCTCACAGAACGTCAAGTGACCTACAAAAGAGACGGCTTAAATATCACGATGAATTACCACAAAGGAGCCCCACAGGGGTCTAATATCGGACCCATCTTGTGGAACATAATTGCAGACTCAGCGCTGAACATCAACTTTGGAGACAATGCCAAGATACAAGCTTACGCCGACGATATTATACTCATAATAGACGGAGGCAATAGGACAACAATAGAGCGTAAAGCAGACGCAGCACTCAAATTGCTTGCAAAATGGAGTCAAGACAACAAACTGTGTTTCAGTATTGAAAAGACACAGATGATAGTCTTTCCAAAAGTTCAAAAATAGACGCGAATCCACCACGCATAAAGTGGGAAGGGCATCCACTTGCGACGCCAGAATACCATTAAATACCTCGGATTCACGCTTGATAAGAAGCTCACGTGGGTATCACATCTTACGGAAGTCCGAGATAAGACGCATCGAATCATCAATAAACTAAACAGGATAATCACAGACAAGTGGAGCCAAAAGGGGCGCCTGTTAAAACATCTATACCTTAATGCAATTGAACGCATGATCCTCTACGGCTGCCCAGTCTGGATGAATGGCACAGCAAGATATGTCAAAAACTACATCAAATACAGCGAGTAATCCTGTTAAAAATCACCAGTGCGTATAGCACCACATCAACCGCAGCACTTCAGGTTTTAGCTGGCACGCTCCCACTCGACCTAAAAGCAGAATTAGAAAGATCAATCTATCGACTTCTACATTACAAAGAGGACCTTCACACAAAAAAGATCTATCTATGCCAGCATAGAAAGCTTCCAAGATTCCCCTATCTTACACCCAGGAGATCTACCCATCCTTTCCTGGTGCAAATCGCCACCCTCAGGACAACAAAGAGAGATTTTTTCTGACGGTTCAAAAATTTCAGGACGAGTAGGGGCAGCGTTCACGGTCTTTTCGAACAATGAAGAAATTTATCAAGCACAATTCCGTCTAAGCAATCATGCTTCAGTCTTCCAAGCCGAGTCCCTAGCACTCAAAGAAGCAGCACTATGGTTAGGTATGCAACCAGCAGCTCACACTTCATTCTTCACAGATAGCATGAGCGTTCTGAATGCGCTGAATTCCTTTCCTCCAAAACATCCGCACACGGCAGCACTTAGAGAGATCTTCTTGACGTTAGGCTCTTCCATACCTTTAAAGATCAACTGGATAAAAGGACATACCGGGCAGAAAGGCAACGAACGAGCGGATGAACTAGCTAAGACTGCAGCTCTCAAACCAAAAATTGACAAGGAAGTTCTGCTTTCCGCAGAAGTTGCAAAACTCCTCAAGACAGCATTTCAAAAGACATGGTCATCACGATGGCAGGAAGAAGAGACAGGAAGATTTACTTACAACATCTTCCCAATACCTTCTCTCAAGAGGCTCAAATGCAACCGACTCTTCCTCCAAGCCTGTACCAACCACGGGAAAGTCAGCACGGGAAATTCTTCCTCGACTATCAAATTTTTCAAAACCTGGTAAATATGTCTACTTAAATACAATGTATGAAAGTAAGAGATTCGTTAGCAGCTGTCAAATATTTTTGTATGACTTTATCTTCCGGATTGTAACAAATGTCATATTTATGATTTTTTACTTAACAAATATAATCTCATACGAGTAATACTCTTTTGGGTAATAAATATTATACCTTCTTTTATTAATTGCTTCAGTTATCAATGCATAAAGAACAGCGTACGTTTCCATGGATACTTGATACATAGCATTTGTAGTGTTCCTCGCTACTTTGTCTATGATAAAATGTCTAAGAACCTAGTGAACTAAGCAGCGACTTACCGCTGAGATCAAGTACTTACAAGGTAAACTCGAAAAGGGTTAAAATACCCTTTTATTCAACCAAAGAAATAAGAATAGATGGCCCCCTTCTCGGACTTACAGGAAAGCCTCCACTCGGACTTTTAAATCAGTATAAGAAAATAAGAAACTAATCTAATACTAACTAAAATAGACTTAGCCAAAGTTAGACACAAATATCTAACGCACCTGGCCCTTAATTTAAACTAGCCGGTAATTATCAACAGGCACATACAAATAAGGCCGAGCGTAGTAGATTCAAGAACAAAGTAGCCAGAAGGCAAACATGCGCCAATAAAGGCTCCTAATCACTCTTTTTCGAAGTAAGTTGAACTTCCTTTAAATACTACTTCTCATCTGCATTCAACGCAGTTCTAAAACCACATTCTGGTAGGGAGTTGTAAGTAGGAAAAAATAATTGAAAGGAAAGGTTTTCAAAATTAAAAATAACTGTTACAAAATTAACATGCACCTTACGTATTAATTTGAAGTAGAGCAGAATATTATACAAAATGCATTAAAGATGTAATTTCGTTCATTGACCTTTCAATGGTGTAATGGAAAAGTACCAAACGCTTCAAGTTTTATGAAAAAAAAAAAAAAAAAAAAAAAAAAAAACGAAGGTGAACAACTCTGCATTATGAGCTGCACATCATCTTTAGTCTTCTGAATTTTTATTCTGAGAATATTCTGCAAGAGCCTTTATTGGTACTTTTTCCTTGTACTAAACTTTATTTTATATCTTTCAGCCAAATGACTGACAATGCCCACCAGCAGCCGAGCGGTAAAATCGCTGAACACTGGTAGTTCGGTCCGAGGTTCGAATCCCTCAAACGGGCTGGCTGCATGGGCCTTTTCGTGGTTTTTTTCCATGTGTAACGTGTATACGAGCCAGTTTCCCTTAGAAAGGTCCTCCACGAAGGCATCCCTCCTCTTAGACAGATAGCCCTCGAGGCTTTGCCATAATCACACACACACACACACACTAAATGACTGACATATTAAGTCATTTAAAAATATTTTTTTTTGTTCCTTGTAGAGCCAATATGTTATTATAATGCAGGAGACGTGAAAAATGAACAATGCACTCGTGAGGAATCGAACCTGGACCTCTCGAATGCGGCTGAGTATGCTACCCGTTACATCCCAAGGCATGAAAAGGAGGGAGAAAATACCTTATATACTCCCCCTTTTAAAGGGCGACTAATCACCTAATTCTGGTGGTGAAGAATCATCATCCACCACCTTTTTAGCTCGAGAGCGACTGTAGAAACATTAGGTTATTTTGAAGCAGAACATATGACAAATGAGCAATGCCCTCTCTGGGACTCGAATCTGGACCTCTTCGAATAAGCGTCGAGGGTGCTGACTGTTGTACCGCGAAGGCATGCAGAAAAGAGGTAGAAAACCCTTACAGAAATTTATGCATATGAGAAAACATTCCAGTTTTTAAATACGTACTGGAATTTCTTTTCTGTATGTAAAATATAATATGAAATCGTAACAAATGTAATACGCTATTTGCTTTCTTTCTCTTTCTTAGAGCAGATGGTCTTCAGAAGCAAGTGTGCTCTTTAGGCTTCAATCGTTACTCAGACAAAAATGAAAGCTGACTTTTTAAAGCTGTAGAGAATATTCTTTGTTATAACAACACACAGTCACGGTTATTCTTGGTATACAAATGTTTCATCTTCTAACAGAGTGACCATTACATTTCTGGTGTAAGTACGTAGTGTCGTTTTCCACACGAAACACATCAATCACAAATCTAAACCTTTGTAAAGCAAAATAGAACAACTCACCCAAATAATCATGAAGCGTGACTTCTGACGTATCCATAGATTTCTCAGAGCAGAAGTGGCTCGCTTTTCGGTGAAAGAAGATTTTTAGCTACTTGGAATCACAAATGTCGCCTCAAATGTAGTTGAACAAATACAGGTATCTAATGCTTTATGGAAATACTAAAACATTCTATGAAAATAGTCTTACATAACTCTGCCTTTTTGTCTAGAAAATATTGTTGATTTTATTTCTCAAGAACGCACCTCACTTAGAGATTAGTTATTTCTTCGCTTTTTCTTTTGCTTTATGCGTTTTGATCTGCATTTTTGTAGACCTGTACTGCTGTGAATCATATGATGTTGTCTTGAACAATGCAGTTTACATCCATCATACAATGGCAGGCTACTGGTATCTCAGATATTTCTTTCGATTTGAACTGCTATGTTGATATAAAGCAAATTACATTACCCATCAAACAGCATTTTATTAAAAGAATTCGAAAACACATTTCAAATGATTTCTTGGAAGTTAACGTAGGCTTAAAAGTAAAAGAATGTTATTTAGTTTTTTTCGACCATGTCATAAAAGATACTATTTGCTTGATATGTACACCGCGAAAAAAAATGGGACAATTTATTTCTCCCATTCTACTGGCCCGATTGACGAAATTCATCTTGCGCTTTTTATGTCACGAAAGCGCGACTTAGGATATGCATTACATTTATATATAGCATTGTTCTAATATAGATATATTGATACAAAATTGAACTTTTTCTGAAATGATATGCCACATTTTTTCCATATCTCGATTCTAAGACTCAAATTAAGCCAAACTGCCAAGTTTTGTAGA